TTTTTTTTGGTTTCTCAAGACAGGGTTTCTCTGTGTAGCTTTGGAGCCTATCCTGGCACTCGCTCTCGAGACCAGGCTGGCCTCTGCCTCCCAAGTGCTGGGATTAAAGGCATGCACTGCCAACGCCTGGCAACTTTTTTTTTTTTTCTAATGCATCTGTTTGAGTGTATGCATCACATGTGCAGGTACCTTCAGAGGCCAGAAGAGGGAATTTGCTATATCCCCTAGACTATTGGTGCTGGGAACCAACTGACATCTTCTAGAAGAACAGCAAGCACTTCTAAATATAGAGCCTTCTTTCCAGACTTGATGGTTTTGGATTTCTAATCCCCCAGTCTTCACCTCCTAAGTGCTTGATTTATAGGCATGCACCACCATGCCAAGTTTATGCAATATTGGGGGTCAAACTTAAGGCTTCCTTCGTGCTAGAGGAATAGTCTACCAACTGAGACATCCTCAGCTCCCTAAATTTCTTATTTCTACTTGTGATGAGAAGACTTCCCTGCTCTAGACATTTATTTTCTCAAGTTTTGTCTACTCCTTTTTTTTTTTTTAATTTGTATTTTTGTTAGCTTCTATTAATTGACAAAATAATGGATTTTGGTTTTTTGTTTTTTGTTTCTGAGACAGGGTTTCTCTGTATTGCTTTTTTGCTTGTTTTTGGTTTTTGAAATAGGGTTTCTCTGTGTAACAGCCCTGGATTTCCAGGAACTCACTTTGCAAACCAAGTTGGCCTTGAACTCACAGAGATCTATCTGCTTGCCTTTGCCTCCCGAGTGCTGGGCTTAAAGATGTTTATAAAGGTGTATACCACCACCACCTGACTAAAAACTCAGTTTTTAAGCTTTATTCACTTCTGTTTTTGAAAAAAAAATTAAATTTCTTTTATGTATGATTTGCCTGCATGAATGTATGTGTGCCACTTGCTTTCCTTGGTGTCCGACAATGTCAGAAGAATGTATCATATCCCCTGGAACTGGAGTTACAGATGGTTGTGAACCACCATGTGGGTGTTGGGAATTGGCAACAGCAACAAGTGCTTTTAAACACTAAGCTAACTCTCTAGCCTTTTCAAAACTTACTTGATGGTGGAGCTCCTGAACTTTTTTTTTCTTGTGCAGCCCACAGAACTTAATTGCCCAATCTCAGTCTGGTACTGGTAAAACAGCTGCCTTTGTGTTGGCCATGCTCAGCCAAGTAGAGCCTGCAAACAGCTATCCCCAGGTAAGTCTTTGGAAATTTGGGTTTCCTACTAGCTTATAGGCTAATGGTGATAACAGTATTCCTGGACTAAAAGCCAGTGTATGGATAGTCAAGGTTATTTACACTTGTAATCCCAGTACATGGCAGGCAGAGGCAGGAGGGTTGCTATGAGTTTGAGAGTAGCATGTGCATAAATTCCAGGCTGGCTTGGGCTAGAGTGAAACCCTATCTTTTTTCTTCTCTTTCTAAATGGTCAGCCCTGAAACCTATATGTAGAAGTAACTAGACTGAGCAGGTTATACTTATGTATTTAGGAAAACATACACACACCAGTTAATGAAAAAAGAGGCAATGAATTTGTTTTGTTTGTTTTTCAAGACTGAGTTTGACTGTTTATCTCTGGCTGTCCTGGAACTTGCATTGTAGACCAGGCTGGTCCTGAACTCATAGAGATCCACCTGCCTCTGCCTCCTGAGTGCTGGGATTAAAGGCGTGTGCCACCATCATCCAGCCAGGTAATGAATTTGAAAGAAAGCAATGGGTGAGGTACAAGGGAAAGTTTGGAGGGAGGAAACAGAAGAGGGTAAATGATGGAATTATAATCTGGAATATATATGTATATATATTCCCCCTCAAAAAAAACCTTTATTGAAAATACTTTCAGATAAAAATCATTATGCAGCGATATTAGCCAAACCCAAATTCTACTTTTCAATAGATTTATACAATTAGAAAAATCATTCTGGGGGTGGTGGTGGTGGTGCATCCCTTTAATCCCAGCATTAGGGAGACAGAGACAGGTGAATCTCTGAGTTACAGGCTAGCCTGGTCTATAGCGTGAGTTTCAGGATAGCTAGGGCTACATAGAGAATCATTCTGAAACTGTGGTGCTTTACAATGGACTTTTTTTTTTTTTTTTTTTGGCTTTTCATGACAGGGTTTCTCTGTAGCTTTGGACCCTGCCCTGGAACTCACTCTGTAGAGCAGGCTGGCCTCTAACTCTCAGATCTGCCTGCCTCTGTCTCCCAGGTGCTGGTATTAAGGGCGTGCTCCACCACCACCCACCTAGATTTTTTTTTTAATGTTGCTTATGTTAGTATGTTTGTGCACCAAGTGTGTGCTTGGTTCCTATAGAGGCCAGAAAAAAGCATCATATCCCTTGGAATTGGAGTTACAGAAGGTTGTGAACCTCAATGTGAATGCTGGGAATAAAACCCAGGTCATTAACACTTGATTATCGTATTTTTTGTTTTGTTTTCTTGAGACAGGGTCTCTTTATTATGAAGCCTTGGCGGTCCTAAAATTTGTTACTTGGATTCTGTCCTTCTATTATCCAATATTTACCTTTCTTGTTTTCCTTTCTACATGTTATACTGTTTCCACATGTATGCTTGTTTACACATAGACATTATAGGCTAGAATCCCCACGTGAAAGAGAAAGTGTATTTGTTTCCTTTAAGGTTGTATGACCTTCTCTAAGTCCATTTTTTTTTCAAATTTTGGATAGTATTCCATTCTATATAGCTATGAAATTTTCATTATACACTCGTCTTAAACCAAAAGGCTTTTATCAGTTTTTCAGAAAGGGCCGCCCTCCTCCTCCTCACTGTAGTGCTGTTAGACCCCCGGAAAAACTCAGGCCTCCGGGGTCTCAGCCCTGTAATCTGAGAGTTTGAGAGGTGGAGATAAGTTGAGTTTGAATTTAAGGATAACCTAGTCATCTTGAGGTCAGCTTGGTCTATGTAGCAAGACCTTGTCCCCAAAAAGGAAGAAGGAAAAGAAGAGAAAGTTCTGAGAATTTTCTAAATGAAAAAGAAGCTGATCTTAACTGGAATTTCACAACCTTGTTCATCAACTTGTTGAGATTTAAAATCCCCTGGGATATCTACATGCCTCTGGGTGAGTCAGTAAGGGCGTTTCCAACTGAGTTTAATTGAGGAAAGGAAACTAACCTTGAATGTGCATGATGTCATCCCATTATAAAAGGCGATAGGAAGCATTAGCATTTTTGTGTGTGTGTGTGTGTGTGTGTGTGTGTGTGTGTGTGTGTGTGTGTGTGTGTGCGCGCGCGCACGCGAGCGTGAGCGCGAGCTCTTCCATTCTTTTTCAAAATTGGTTCGCATTGTGAAGCTCATTATGAAGCCTTGGCAAATCACTCTGTAGAACAGTCTGGCAATGAACTCAAGAGATCCACCTACCTCTGCCTCTTCAGTGCTGGGATCAAAGGTGTTTGCTACAATTCCTGGCTGGCAGTCTCTGTTTTCAAGTGTCTTTACCTAGCCATAGCCTGACCACTAGTAATTCTAGTTACTGTTAGACCCCCGGAAAACTCAGGTATCCGGGGTCCCAGGCCACGTCTGCGGTCACCCCAATAACCAGGCGGATTCAAGCGCTTGCTGCACACTGCATGAGGCTTTATTGTAATTTAATGAGCTACCCCCTTGTTAGCTCGGGTCTTTCCCCCACCCGCCATGGTGGATGGCTAGCAAAGACAGCTCCTAAGGCCTCCCCAGAGATCTTATAGGGCAGCGTAAGGGGAGTATCTAGGGGTACGCACAGGCTCACTATTGGTGTGCCTCCAGGCTTGGAGAGCTTGCCCTGTGTTGATTGGCCAACTGGTTGTTATGGCCCATAGGCCCTCCCAGGGTGGTTGCTATGCTTTGTACGTCATTACTGTGCGCTTGTACGTAAAGCACACCCAGGGTCATAAAGCATAGCGCCACCAGCTAACTTCTGATTGGTTCCTTGTCACAAGGCAGGCATCTGACCAAGGCAAGTTTATGGCAAGCACGTGTTCGGCTGTTATGGCTGCCGAAAGGGAAGCTGGTCCCTTCATTACGACCCAGCAGTTAAAAAGTGAAATGGTGTGGTTGGCAAGATGGCTCAGCAGTTAAGAGCACTACTGCTTGCCGAGAGGTGGTGGGACACGCCTTTAATCCCAGCACTCTGGAGGCAGAGACAGGTGGATCTTTGTGAATTCATGGTCAGCCTGGCCTACTGATCAAGTTCCAAGACAGCCCTCAAAGCTACAGAGAAACCCTGTCTCAGGGGGGGAAAAAAAAAAAAAGCACACTACTCAGACTACTGAGGACCTGGCTTCAACTTTCAGCACCCACATATAACATAACCATTTGTGACTTCAGTCCCAGGGAACCTGAAACCCTCTTCTGGCCTCTTGGGGCACAGCACATACTTGGTTCAGACTTACATAAAGGCAAAATGCACATATAAGTAAAAATTAAATTTTGTATAGCCAGGCTGTGGTGTGGTGTGGTGTGGTGCACACCTTTAATCCCAGCACTTAGAGGTACTCTGAGAGTTCAAGACCATTGTGGTCTACAGAGTGAGTTCCAGGACAGCCAGGGCTACACAGAGAAATCCTGTTTTGAAAACCAAAAAAAAATTTATGAAGACAAACCTTGTCTCCTGCACATACTTTTTCCTGTGACCCAGATGAATGGGTAGGTTCTAATGTGGAGGCTCCTGGACTAGACAGTCAGGAGTTCTCATTCTGTACTCTTTTCTCTCCAGTGTCTCTGCCTCTCTCCAACCTATGAGCTTGCTCTTCAAACAGGAAAAGTGATTGAACAGATGGGCAAGTTTTACCCTGAACTGAAGCTAGCTTATGCTGTTCGAGGCAATAAATGTGAGTATTGAGTATATGGGACTAGATCATAAATAAATCTAATAACTTCTTTTAACTTTGAGAAACTTCAAAATATACCCACGAGTTAAATCATGTATGCTCCCACCCTGATTCAGAAACTAAACATTTGCCGAATTTTCTTTATTGATGTGTTTGTACATTTTTTTTTTTTCCGGTATTTTGAGACAGGGTTTCTCTGTATAGGTTTGAAGCCTATCCTGGCACTCACTTTGTAGACCAGACTGGCCTGGAACTCTGCCTGCCTCTGCCTCCTGAGTGCTGGGATTAAAAGCGTGCGCCACCGACCAGCATTCATACATTTTTGTGGAATGCTTGAGAGTAATTGTCTTATTGTAATTCATTCTTCCTAAGTCTTTCAGTATGCACCTCATATGGACATTATATAATATAATGCCCTTGTTACGACAATTAACAGTTCCCTAGAAAACTAACATCTGCTTTACCCTTGCCCATTGATACTCAAAATTTTCTTTAGTTGCTGAAGTCTTGTCCTACAATCCTGCTTCAGGCTTCTGTGTACTGGGATTAAGGAAGTCCACTGCCATACCTAACTCCTTTTTTATTTTATCATGTTTTGTTACACCCTTATAATTTCATTAATTCTAAATTTGATTAACTGTGTCCATTAGATATTATAAGTGGCATCCAAACTTTCCTTAAAATAGTAACAGAAAATCAATAGTATTAAATACAAAGTAGCTACAAACTATCTCAGAGTGGAAAGCTGGAGAACTGATTTTCCTTTGGAAAACCTGAAGAAAATATGTCTTTTTCACAGTGGACAGAGGTCAGAAGGTCAGTGAGCAGATTGTCATTGGCACCCCCGGGACCGTCCTGGACTGGTGCTCCAAGCTGAAGTTCATTGACCCCAAGAAGATCAAGGTGTTTGTTCTGGACGAGGCTGACGTGATGATAGCAACTCAGGGCCACCAAGACCAGAGCATCCGCATCCAGAGGTAGGAATTGGAGCCAGGAGGAACTGCCAAAGCCTCCTCTTGCATCTTTGGGTTCTTGGCTCTGGTCTATGCAGCAGTATTTGTGTGATGAGCCATTTCCACATGCTCTCACCGTGCTCTCAGCCTGGGCTGAAAAGGGAGAGCTGGAACCCTCACTCAGCCCAGTGCCACACTGGGTCTGCTCCTCCCTCCCCTGGATGCTCTGTATCCCACTCAGCTTGCTGGGGCTGCAGCTCACCGAGGCTGCAGAGGCTGGGCTTGTGTTCTTTCTGACCAAACCAGTGGAGTCCTGCAAAGTGCCTGGGCCTCCACTTGCAGGATGCTGCCCAGAAACTGCCAGATGCTGCTCTTCTCTGCCACCTTTGAAGACTCAGTGTGGAAGTTTGCCCAGAAGGTGGTCCCAGACCCCAACATCATCAAACTTAAGCGTGAAGAGGAGACTTTGGACACCATCAAACAGTATTATGTCCTTTGCAATAACAGAGAGGAGAAGTTCCAGGCCCTGTGCAACCTGTATGGGGCCATCACCATCGCCCAAGCCATGATCTTCTGCCATGTGAGTAGCTGCTGCAGGCCTGCAGGGGATGCACACTTTTCTTCCCTGCTGTTTGTAGGTCAGTGAATAGGACTATCATTGGCACCTTGGGAGGCAGTCATCTCTACTGCTCAGCTGAGGAGGACTATTGCAATGAAGGGAAGTGACAGTCCACATCCACCTGCCTGGGCAATAGTCACTGTGGATTTTAGAGTTTATCGTTGATTTGGTTGAGCACACTTAAAGATTTCTTTTAAAAGAAATCCTCCCTCTGGGCAGTAGTGGCACGTGCCTTTAGTTCCAGCACTTGGGAGGCAGAGGCAGGTGGATCATAGTGAGTTCTAGGAAAGCCAGAGCTACACACAGAGAAACGCTGTCACCAAAAAAATAAAATAAAAAAAGGATAATCTCCACATCCAAATCCCAAATAATGAGCTGGCAATGTAGCTCAGTTGTAGCATATTTGACTAACATGCATTGTTCTAGAACTGATATTCAGCACCACAAAAACAAAGCAGAATAAATACCAAAGCCAGGTGGTGATGGTGCATGCCTTTAACCCCAGCACTCAGGAGGCAGGCGATCTCTAAGAGTCCATGGCCAGCTGATTCCAGGACAGCCAAGGCTACATACACAGTGAAACACTGTCTCCAAAAAGTAAAATATTATTATTTTTTTTTTGTGGCAGAGTCTCACAGTGTTGCCCTAGCTGGCCTTGAACTCAGAGATCCTTCTGCCTCTGCCTCTGCCTCTGAAAGTGTGGGGATGAAAAGCATCACCACCATGTCTTGTTTATACAATTTTATAAAATGGATATGTTTATATGCATGTATCTGTATGCACATATGTGTGTGGGTACCTGTGGAAACAGGAAAGGCCTTATATCCCTCTGGAACTGGGGGGTCCTGGGAACAAGTATTGGTTGTTTGTAGGAGCAACAAGTGTACTCAACCACCAAACCTTCTCTCCAGCCCTGGATTTCAGTGCAATTCAGTGGATGACCGATGATAACCCCAGCTTAATTCCCAGAGCCCACATGTTGCCTGTGTACACACATACATACCTACTAAATAAATATAATAAAAATTAAAAATAAGTAAACTACTTAGGCCACCAAGAAGACTCAATGAGTAAAGGTGATTGCTGTTCAGTATCACTACCGGAATTTGATTCCCAGGATCTGCCTGGTGGGAAGTGAACTGAATCCTGAGTATTATCATTTGACCTCCTCATGTGCTCAGTAGCATGTTCATGCTCCACCCCTACCCTCCTATTCAAACACTACATAAATTTTAAAAAATAACAAGTGTGGCCAGTCATATAACTTTAAATCCCAGCAGGCTGCAGAGGCAGGCAGATGTCTCTGGCAGATGTTCAAGCCCAGCCATGGATACTCAATGAGAGTCCTTGTCTAATAAATAAATAAATGAGCTGGGCCTTGGTTGTGCATGACTTTAATCCCAGGACCTGGGAGACAGAGACCGACAGATCTCGGTGAGTTGGAGGCCAATCTGCTCTACCGAGTGAGCTCCAGGACATCAGGGCTACACAGAGAAACCTTGGCCCGAAAAACCAACCTAAGAAGTAAATTCATGTGTATGTGTGTGTATGTGAACAGCACTGTGACGTAGTTAGAGAAGATCTTACAGTATGGGTCTTCATCTTCTACCTTATGTTTGAGGCAGGGTCTCTCCTGTTGTTTGCAGCTGCAGTCTATACTCCAGGTTCCCTACCCTGTAAGTGTGTGCATTAGACTTTTACATCAGCTTGGATGTGAGCTCAAGTTGTCAGGATTGTTCTAACATTCCCTTTTATGCTCTGAGTCATTTTCCCGACATGCTTATACTTTTTTTTCTTATACTTTTTTAAACATTGAATATTCAGAAATGGAGATATAGCTGGTCTTTGTTTTTTTCGAGACAGGGTTTCTCTGTATAGTGCTGACTGTCGTAAAACTCACAGACATCCACATGCCTCTGTCTTCCAAGTGCTGGGATCAAAAGTGTGCACCTCCATGCCTAGCTAGAAATAGTCTTACATGAAAAAGTAACAGCAGTTAAAAGTTCATCCAAGTTCATTATATGACCAAAATTCCATGCAGGAAAACATTTTAAGCCATTTCTTTTTTTAATCTGGTGTGATCTGCTATGTGGTGTGTGTGGTATGTATATGTGCTCATGTGTGCAGGTCCCTCATGGAGTTGCAGTTATAGGTGGTTTTGAGCCACTTAATGTAGGGGTTGGGAACTGAACTCAGGTCCCTGCAAGAGCATTATGTGCTCTTAAATCACTGAAACATCTCTCCAGTCCTAGGCAAAGATTTTTAAGTGCTTTTATTATTTCAGAATTTCATGCATGCATAAAGTGTATTTTGATCATATTCATACTCTACTGCTTCCTTCCAGTTCCTCCTGACTCCCTCCTCCAGGTCTCCCTTAGAACTTCATGTCCTTTTTTGTTTCTTATACAACTCACTGAGCCCAGTTCATGCAGCCTGTATATTCACAGGTGCCAGGTGATCCAGTGAGTATGCTTAACCTACAGGGACCACACCCTTAATGAAATGCTGACGCTCCTTCTTCAGCATCTGTCAGTTATCAGTAGTTCCTCAATAGGGATGGTGGCTCATGGACACCTGTTTCAGACATTCTGAACTGTTGACTGACTTGATCTTGATTAGATCTTGTTCAGGCGCAGTGGTACTGTCATATCCAGATTATTATTTTATTCCAGTTCTGTTATTTTATTTTATTCCCCCACCCCCCTTTGGTCTTGCCATCTTTCTGAAACCTCTCCATGTGAGAAAGCTTTAAGCCTGGACAGTCCACTGAATTCATCAGAGCCATAAGTACCATATAGGCCACAAACCACCTTTTTGTGGGTCTCTTTGTTTCTGTTTTTGTTTTTATGTTACAGGTCTCTTCATTAAAAACAATTCTTTTCACTCCAGACCCGCAAAACAGCTAGCTGGCTGGCAGCAGAGCTCTCCAAAGAGGGCCACCAGGTGGCTCTGCTGAGTGGAGAAATGATGGTGGAACAGAGGGCAGCTGTTATTGAGCGCTTCCGGGAAGGCAAAGAGAAGGTCCTGGTGACCACCAACGTGTGTGCCCGTGGTGAGCAGACACTGGCCCCGTTCACCAGGCTTGGGGTCCCAGGCCCTGTGAGCAAGAGTATTGCTTGTATCCCTGGTCTCACAGAGATGGGAGTGTTTTAGGGACATTGCTTTGTGGGAGACTAATTCCCGTTGGGCAGTAAGAAACACTTGGAAGAAGCCAAAGCCAGCAGTCCTGCCTTGGTGGGAAGACACTCAGGCTTCCAGACACTCGCTTTCTTTCTTCTGCCAGAGTTCTGTGCTTCTGCCCAAGCTATAGTCCTATAGGTGTCCTCTTTAGTGCCCACAGCCCAGATGTGACCTGCCTCCAGATGTGACCATGTCTCCAGTGGAAGTGGGTGCGTGTGGTTGACGGTGGCCCCCTTTGTCTCCTGCCTGCCTCCCCTCAACCCCTTTGTGCAGGTATTGATGTTGAACAAGTGTCTGTCGTCATCAATTTTGACCTTCCTGTGGACAAGGACGGGAACCCAGACAATGAGACCTACCTGCATCGCATCGGGCGCACTGGCCGCTTTGGCAAGAGGGGTCTGGCAGTAAACATGGTTGACAGCAAGCACAGCATGAATATCCTCAACAGAATCCAGGAGCATTTTAGTGAGTCCCTGAGTTAGCTATGCCTGGAACCCTCTTCAGAGGGGAGCATGGGAGAGGGGAGGGTTCCTTTGTCCCTGAGGTGGGCTCTGAGATCCCTTCATAGCTGTCTCCACCTGGATGTTGTCAGGGAGAGCACCTGCACATTCAGGGCTCAGGCACTGGAGTACCAGAGCCCTGGCACCAAGCTAGGAGAACCTGACCACTTTCCTGGGAAGTCAGTATGAGTGACCAGGGACCTGTTGCCAGCTGCTCAGGCTCAGGAAGCTTGCTTTGTGCCTGGAGGAAGAATCATTGTCCCACAGCTAAGCGCTTCCCCAGACTACCTGTCTTGCTGTTTGTTCTAGATGACTTCTGTCTGTTGCATGCATTTCCATGGTCGTCCACGGTGGTCTTCCAATTTGTTTTTCCCTCAGATAAGAAGATAGAAAGATTGGACACAGATGATTTGGATGAGATCGAGAAAATAGCCAACTGAGAAGCTTCACCAGCGACTGGCGCCACCCTCAGCACTGTCCCTGCCTGGGAGCCTAGTGCTTTCATGGCAAAGGCCTTGACAGGCACCTCAAAGACCAAGGCCTGAGTAGAGACTACCTACCTCATTCAGAATCATGTTTGGACTTGACAGAAATTTGTGCAAATGATGGGGGATGGTAGAAAATTTGTTTACACAACTTTGGAAGATTAGGCATGAATACACAGAAATTTACCTTTTAGAAGTTCCGTCTTTTTTTTTTTTTGGCCAGTATTTCTCCATCATCACCTAGTCTAGATAATATGCCCACGATTCCTTATGACAAACTTTAGCTGTTCTTTGACTCAGAGTATGCAGACCAGCCTTGTGGAAGTGACAGCACAAGAGAAAGGAGGGCTCACAGAGGCAGAGTGGCCCAGTAGGTTAGATATGTAAGACAGTGTCAAGAGGATGTCATGAGGAGTTGGCCTGTGAGCTGCTGCTTAGGACTTGGTTGCTATGACTAAGCTGAGTGCCCAGAGCCCTGCTAACTCATTCCAGGAAGAAATTTACTATGTTGGACCAAAATGCCTTTGGGGCCTCTCTATTCAGGTTTGTGCCTCAGGAACATAACCTGTTCTTTTTAGCAGGGAGCAATCTATGTGCAGTAAAAATCTGGTTATTAGTTGGTTCTGGGCTCATACTTTTGCAAGACCCGTGGAAAAGTCATCACACAAAAAGTGTCATGGGTTACTTGCATCATCGTCTTTACATCTGTAACATCACCTTAACCCTTAGTAGTGCCAGACAAATAAAAGGGTACCTGAGATTTGGATACTCAGTGGATACTGTAGCTTCAAGTTTCTGATGGGCAGCTTCAATCTAAGCAAGTCTAGACATGATCAGCAGTTGTCAAAAATTCTTGCTTTGCATGCAGTTCCAAAAGATAGTTCTGCAGAGCTAGGGAATGCTTACAGACATTGGGCATCTTGATTCTAAAGGGATTCTGATCATCTGTGTTCACAGTGCCTGGAATGAATACAAAGGAGTGTGATGAGGGACAAGATGGACCACAGCCATTTATCTGTCCAAGACAAGAATAATCGCCAAGCATTTGCTCCTTTCTTACTTGGCACCTGTGAGTAGAGTAGTAAATGCAAACAATAGAAATGGAGAATTCCTCACACCTGGCTAGGCCATAGCTGCCCACAAAGTGACAGCAGAAACGAAACAAGCCAGAAGGCATCATCTTCAGTTCTTTGACTTGGACATGGAGTGATTCCTCTTTCTAGGATTTTTTTTAATGTATGTGTTGTGCTGGGACTCAAACCCAGAGCCTTACATATGCTAGGTAAGCACTTTACACTGAACTATTATTATTACCAGCCATGGAAGAGGCATTTTCTGTGCTCCTATATCTTAAGGCCAGCTCCATCACCTGGGCATTTGACTGAATAGAACTCTTTGTTTGCTCCTGGCCAACTTTGATCTATCTTAGGAGTCTTAAAAGGAGAGAAGAAGTTTTTTGTTTTCCCAAAATCCTGTGAACCAAACCTGACATAACTAAAAACAAGGACTATACTTGAAGAAGCGTGTAGCCTCTCCCTAAGTATGAAGAGGAGGATGGGGAAGTTGTGCTGCAGACTCTCCAGTGGCTTCTGGTGGAAGTGTAGCTCACCTGGTCTTAACTTAGTGTCTTGGACCTCTGAGAATTCACTGGCTGGGTTCATGATGTCTGTGAAGTGTATGCATTAGTTTGAGTTTAAATAATTTTTTGGGAGGACTCAAAGGATTACACATGTTTTTAAAAAGGTAAGCCCCACAATTGTGGATGATTCTGGAATGTCACTGTGGGCCATAGACCTTCATGGTCCACACTCATTCCTGCCATCACCTGTCCCCCAGGGCCAGCCTTGCCTGTCAGGAGTCTAAGAATATGTTGAGCTTGCCAAGCCTTGGGCCCAGGGATTCTTTGACTGATTTCAATAAAGTTATGTATCTATGGAATGATAAACTGAACCTTAGAACAAAGAAACTCGGGGAAAGAAGAGAGACGCTCAGGGAAAGAAATGTTTTTGTCTAATGAAAAGTTTTGTGATGTTCATTATCTACAATAGGTTTTATTGTTTTGGTTTTTTTTTTTTTTTTTTTTTTTTTTTTTTTTTTGCTTCAAACTCCACAGATTCCTGCCTCAGTTTCCTGAGTGCTAGAATTACAGGTGTGCACCATCATGCCATACTGAGGTATTCTGTTCCGAGTATCATTTATTGGTTGTATACATAAGGTCTAATCAATTGTTGAGACATAGACTTTGTTTATTTGAGGCAGGGTTCTCTATAGCTTTGGATATCCTGGAACTGGCTCTGTAATAGACCAGGCTGACTTTGAATTTGGCCTCTGCCTCCCAAGTGCTGGGATTAAAGGTGAGACATAGTTTTTACTGATGTTAATTATGATGTGTTCTTGTTACTAAGACTTTAATGATTATAAGAAGGAAGTAGCATTTTGTGGTTGTTGCTATTAAGTGAAGTCACATGTTTGCCTTAGGCTAATTATTACCTAGTCAAGTCTATTTCAATTGGTACTGTTCTAACATGTGTTTCTGGGAAATCTCCATTGACCCAGGATTCTGCTCACTTGCAAGAGGGACACAAACAGGCACATACCTCCTACCCCACTGCAGTAAAACGGGATTCAGGCTAACTAGCCAGATAAAGGTCATTGCTGGTAAATTCAGTCTGTAGATAACATCCTACTAATCTGAGGGGGCCGGGGAAGGACATAAATAGGGCAATAGGGCTACAGACCAAGAGTGATGGTCCACATCTATCCATCCCAGCATTATCAAGAATGATGGTCCACGCCTGTCCCAGCATTAGCAGGAGTGATGGTCCACACCTGTCAATCTCAGCATTAGCAGGAGTGGGGTTTGAATATGAGAAAGCAGTCTTGTGACAAGAGGAATCTAGCCCAAAAATATTAAGACTAAAGCTTAGAATGGTGAAACATGCCTGTAATCCCATTGTTTAGGGAGTGATATGAAGATCAAGAGTCCAGGGTCATCTTTAGCTACAAAGAGAATTTGAGGCCAGCCTGGTCTACAGGAGAGCCTATGGCAGAAAGCAAAAGACTAGAATAAAAAGTACTAGGTACAGTGGTGCATATCTATAATCCCAGCACTCAGGAGGCTGAGGAGAATTGCTGAGTTCAAAGTCATCTTGGTTACATAGATGTAGGCCAGCCTTAGCAATATTTGTACTTTTTAACTCCAAAGTCAATTGACAAAGCTAAAAGAGATATACTAGGAAGACGGAGTTCAACCTGGCCAGGTGTGGAAGAGGAAAGTCAAGGTTCACAGAATAAAATGGTTTTTTGTTGTTGTTGTTGATTGTGAGAATCTCACTATTTAACACAGGCTGGCCTGGAAATCAAAGCAATTCTGCCTCAGCGTTCTGAGCACTGGGATTCTAGGCAGGAGTGCCAAGACCCAGTGATTAGATTTTGACTGTGTCATATTCCACTCTCCTGCTGTGACAGAATAGCCAGTGTTGGGTAGTCTGAAGAACAGGTGTAACCACCAGGTCTGGAGGCCAAGGAGTCAACATCAAGCCCTAGCAGTACATTCAGAATTTTTTTTTATTTTTTTGTATTTCTAGACAAGGTTTCTCTGTGGCTTTGGAGGCTGGCCTGGAACTAGCTCTTGTAGACCAGGCTGGTCTCGAACTCACAGAAATCCTCTGCCTCTGCCTTTGCCTCCTGAGTGCTGGGATTAAAGGTGTGTGCCACCAATGCCCAGCTTCAGAAATTCTTACATCACAAATGTAATAAAATTGGACTGATTGCTTCCTTTACCTACACCATCCAAGGTAATGAAGATTTAAGGGACCCTCTTAAAGTTTCTCTTGATCCTCATTAGAGACACCTGGTTCTTGGGAACCTCTTGCAATTTTGCATGAATTTTTTTCTCTGCCTGAGAATAAATATTCTGTATTCTGTTGACCAGATATTGTGGTGTCTTCCATAAAGAACCCTGGGGGCATGAGATTAACCTAATACTCTGCTTTTTTTTTTTATCTATTAGCTGAGATAGGGCTTCCCCAGAACAGCTTTGAAAACATAGTGTGAAGACACAGACACATGAGGATAGCACATACTTTTCTTGGCCTTCAGACTGTGGTGGCTTTAGAATCCAGAGGGCCAGGGAGGTGGCTTCTCTGTAGTAGTTTCAGTTACTAAATGGGGAATTAGAATGGAAGATGAGGGAAAGATGATACAGGACAAGCTGGCTGTGGTGGCATACATCTCTAATCTTAACACTTGGAGGGGCTGAAAGTTTGAGTACTGTTGTGGGGCTATATAGATCATGTCTCACCAAAATAAAAGGTGAGGTGAAGCTTGACAAAGATGCCTGACGTGTCTACTATCCAAATCGGACACTCATCCATTTGCCTTAGGTATGTAGTTAATGGACAGAAGAGAGTCATGAGTGATGAGAGTGCAGACCTTTTTGTTCCCTTTTAGCCTGGGACTGTGTCTAGCTTTTGCCAAGGTAAGAGACAACTTTCCCTAAAAGACAGTCTCTACTGTTCTCTTACACCCTTATCAATGTGTTTCCATAACAGTCTACTGAGTTTAGGTTATAATTATCCCTGAGGGCAAACCTCCCCTGTTTACAACTCAGGATAGGCTGTGGTTGTGCATCCTTTAATCCCATCATTTAGGAGGCAAAGACAGTCGGATATCTGTGAGTTCTGTCTCAAAGAGAAAGGAAAGGGAAGGAAGGAAGGAAGGAAAGAAGGAAGGGGGAAAAAGGACAAATCCAGTTATGTTGCCAAATGAGGTGGGTGGGTGGGTGGGTGGGTGTGTGTGTGTGTGTGTGTGTGTGTGTGTGCATTTTGCTATCTGACAGCAGTAGCTGCTAAATATGCATAGAAATTATCAAGATCTGGCTAGTGGGATGGCTCAGGGAGTTCATCCCAGAAACCAGCTTCTAAAGGTAGACAACCTCCCTGAGGGAGTTGTCCTTAGACCTCATTAGTGGGGCAATGGTGCATATCCACACACAGTTTAATTTTTAAGATTTGCTCACCATTTTAAATAAATATATTTTAAAAAATGTGTGTGGGTGGTTTGTTTGCATTCTAACCCTAACCCTAACCTTAACCCTAGCCAGCAGAGGGCATCTGATCCCTAGAACTCTCCTTTCAGGCAATTATGAGCTGGGAACCAAGCCTTGTTCTTCTGAAAGAGCAGTATGTGCTTTTAGCAACTGAACCATCTCTTCATGCCCTATTTTGTTGAGACAAGATCAGGCTGTCCTTAAACTCAAGTCTTTCTCTGCCTTTCTAGTGTTTACATTTTAAGAGTACAGTACTACACCCAGCTCCAGCGCTTGCGCGTTATGGCCAAAGATGTACAAGAGTTTTATTTAATGCATTGATCTCCAGTAGTAATCCCTCTGCAGTTCTGCTCCACATAGCTCTCCTGAAAAAGTGTCCTTTGCAAAGGACTGTGCAGGCCTAATGTGGAACACCCTTTCTATTCATGCTTGACTTCTCAGCGGTATTCAACAATACTTCCTACAGGAATTAGAGCCATTCTAGTGTTTACCATTGGGACATAGCCACTTTTTGGTCTTTTTCTGACCATGTCTCAGGCTCCTTGATGCTTTAGTTCTTGGTCATTTCCTCTTCCACAGGCAACTTTCTTCAATCCTATGGCTCTGTCTGCTGGAACCTGCCCCCCCCCCAAAAAAAAAAACCTATCCCAAGACCTGATTGTTGAATTCTAGGGTAGGAGAAACCGCTGTGCTTATACTGGGATGTTTTCTAATTCTGTTACTATGAACAAGAGCCCAGAAAACACCACCAAACCAAACCCTAAACCTTGCTCTTGAGTTCCTCCAGCTTAACCTCACAAAATGGCATCACAGTTGCCTAATGTTCAAGTTAGAAACCTGGAATTCAACATGAATCTTGCTTCCTGCTTCTGAGCCAATAAAATACCAAGTCCTTTGCATCAGTTGTCCATTGCTGTGTCACAAGTCTTCTCAAAACAATGGTTGTTGGATGTGGTAATAAATGACTTTAATCCTAGTTTTCAGTAGGCAGACATAGGTAGATTAAGTTTGAGGCCAACCTGGTCTATATAGTTCCAAGCCAACCAGAATTACACTGCCTTAGCTGTACTTGGTAGCACAAGCCTGTAATCTCAACAGTCAGAGGGTTGAGGCAGGAGAACTGTGAGGCCAAAATGAGACTGGATCTAAAAAGAAAACAAAAACCACTTTTCATTTTTGGTTCTAGTACAAAATGAGAGGGGCTCTCCAGACCAGGTACCTGCTTCATTCAAATGCATCTTTTGCTTCATACTGTGCTCCAGTTCTGCCTAATTTGATGGGCTTGCATACTTTTTTTCACATCTCCCAGCTCAAACTGAAGCAAGGACAAAAAAATTGGAAGAAACTGCCAAAGTTAAAGGCTGAGTAGAAAATGTCACCTCCAGGCTTCTAGCTGATGTGAATGTGGGGAAATAGGAAATAGGAGTCCTCCAGTTCAGCAGAGAGTCAGGATGCACAATACAAGGAGAAGGGGATAAACTGTCAGTCCTGCTTCTACAAATCCTGTTCTTTTGGAGAAATCTCAAGGCCCAGTGGTTAAGAGCACTGGTGGTTTTGGAGGATCCAGGTTCAGTTCCCAGCACCCAGCACCCACATGGCTGCTCACCACTGTAACTCCAGTTCCAGGGGATCTGATACTCGCACAAATATAAGTGCAGGCAAAAACACAATACACAAAGTCTTTAAAGAGTTAAAAGAGCTCCCTGGGTGTGGTGGTGCAAGCCTTTAATCCCTCTGGAAAGCAGAGGCAGATGGATCTCTTGAGTTTAAGGCCAGCGTGGTCTATAAAATGTGTCCCGTCAGGGCAGCCAAGGCTGTTACACAGAGAAACTGTCTTGAAACCCCCTTCACCTGGAAAAAAGAGCTCAACACACTGATGACTGTGCAGGCTGGGTCTTCTCTGCCACCTAGATATTCTAAACAACTTGTGATTCCATTAATTTTTTTAAGATTCTATTATGTATACAAAATTCTGCTTCCATGTATATCTGCACACCAGAAGAGGGCACCAGGTCTCATAACAGATGGTTGTGAGCCACCATGTGGTTGCTGGGAATTGAACTCAGGACCTCTGGAAGAGCAGCCACTGCTCTTAACCTCTGAGCCATCTCTCCAGTCCCATCCATTAATTTTTTTAATCACTTTATTTTATGTGCATTGGTGTTTTGCCTGAATGTCTTTGTATGGGTAGCAGATCTTAGACAGTTGTGAGCTGCCATGTGTGGGTTCTGGGTATTGAACTCAGGTCCTCTGGAAGAGTAATTATTAGTCCTCTCAATCTCTGAGCCATCTCCCCGCTCTCCATTCTTTTTTGTTTGTTTGTTTTGTTTGTTGATACATGGTTTCTCTGTGTAACAGTTCCGGTTGTCCTGGAACTAATACTGTAGGTCAGGTTGGCCTCAAACTCAGAGATCTGCCTGCCTCTGCCTCCTGAGTGCTGAGGATTAAAGCCGTGAACTACCATGGCCTGGCAGTCCCATGAATCTTTTTTTTTTTTTTTTTTTTTTTTTTTTTTTTTTTTTTGGAGGGGTTAATTTTGGAGCCTATCCTAGCACTCGCTCTGGAGACCAGGCTGACCTCTAACTCACATAGATTCACCTGGCTCTGCCTCCCAAGTGCTGGCATTAAAGGTGTGGGCCACCACAGCCGGACTATTTTCTGAATCTTTTTGGCATTTTGTCACCCCTTTCCTGACCTGTTGCTTACTATATGTAGAGGGATCTGACCTGTACTTGATTTTTCGAGACAAGGTTCCTCTGTGTAGTCCTGGCTGTCCTGGAACTCTCTTTAGACCAGTGTGGCCTGGAATTGAGATCCAATTGCCTGTGGAATTAAAGGCCTGTGCTATCACTGCTGGCCCATTTTATTTTTATTTATTTTGTTTTTTTCTCTGTGTAGCTTTGGAGCCTATCCTGGCACTGGTTCTATAGACCAGGCGGGCCTCGAACTCATAGAGATCTGCCTGCCTCTGCCTCCAGAGTGCTGGGATTAAAGTCATGCATCCCCAACGCCTGGCCTCATTTTATTTTTAAATGTGTATGCATGTATATGTCTGTGACCAAAAAGGCTAGCAGAAGGCATTGGATCCCTTGATACCTCGGCATTTGAGAAGTGAAGGAGAAAACCGAGCTCAAGGCAGCTAACTGCAAGAAACCTTGTTTCAAAACCGTACTAAAAACTATTTTACTATGAAATGAAGAGATGCAGTGAATACTAAAAGTTACTCTTTGTAGACAGAGCTCTTGGGCGTAACTCACAATCAGACCTCACCTAGCGAAGCAGGATTTTTGTTTTTGTTTTTTCGAGACAGGGTTTCTCTGTGACTTTAGAGGCTGTCCTGGAGCTAGCTCTTGTAGAACAGGCTGGTCTCGAACTCACAGAGATCCGCCGCGAAGCAGGATCTTAAAACACAGGGCACGCTTACTGTCCAGGGGCGGAGCGCGAGTGGGACATGACAAAGCGAGACAGGAACTGACGTCAACTCCGCGCACGTCTCCTTCCGCTCCGCGTGAGCGGCGCTTAGCGCGGGCTGGGACTCCACGCTGGTGTTGGCGTGGTGCGGAACCTCTGCAGATCCCGCTTGCCTTGGGGACCATGGCCACCGACTCCTGGGCATTGGCGGTGGACGAACAGGAAGCCGCTGTCAAGTCGGTCAGTGTCCTGGCGGGGACGGGGGACTCAGGCGGACGCTGTTTCCAGGACCTCCGAGTCGGGTCGGCCTGCGCGCCGCAGGAGTTTGCTGCGGGCAATCACTTAGTGCTGATTTGCTCCTAGAGTGAAGAAAACCCGCAGCGAGCTTCTTATCCGAATTTGGACTGAAAAGTTTTCCCGTGGTGATTCTGTCCTCACTATGTGTGCGAGGTTCCAAACTGGCTCTTTCTCTTGACCTTTATAACAATTGGCAACATAAAATTTTCTTTTTCATTGTTAAGGGACAGTTTTTGGGTGCATTTATGCTGCTTTCACCTAACTTCTTACGTTCATGCCTAATGTGGTTGACAGTTTGTAGCTCTCCAGAATAACTGTGTGTGTGTGTGTGCGCTTGCTTGCTTGCTTGCTTGCTTGAATGCCTCACATAGCTACAATACAAAACTGTTTAGTTAATATTTTAGTGACATTTAGTTTCATTTCTTAGATTTTGAGTGTGTGTGTGTGTGTGTGTGGTTATGGTGTGTGTTGGTGTGTTCGAGACAGGGTTTCCTTTAGTCTGGGTTGGCTTCTGACTTGTTGGATAGCTGAGGTTGTGTACTCCTGTCTTTCTACCTCCTCTTAAGTGCTGGAATTACAGGCTTGCTGCCTTTGTTTTGTTTTGAGACAGACCAGATGGCCTGCAGATCACTGTTTAGCTCGGTGTGGCCTCAAATACTTTTAATATTTGCTTATGTTTGTTTTGTGTTTATATGTGTACTCCTTTTGTCCCTACATATGTTAGAAGAGGTAACTGGAGATAGAAACCGACATGAGCCTCAATGTGGATTCTGGGAACCAAACCTTAGACTCCTGCAAGAGCAGGAAGCTCTCTTAACCACTGAACCGTCACTGTAACTCCAGTATTTATTTTTTTAAACCATTAATTGTACTTATGATGTGTATTATGTGTTTTGAGCATGCATGTATCACGGTGTGTATGGAGGTCAGAAGACAACTTGTGAGGATAGTTTCTGGACCTACATTGTGGTCCCAGGGATTGATTCAATTCATCAGACTTGATGACATGCAATTACCCACTGAGCTATCTTATGAGCTCCAGTCTGAAGTTTCCAATCTAATGTTTAATATGAGCTTATGCCTAAAAGGTAGTGACTGGGAATTGTTTTCAATTTAATTATATGTGTTTGAGAAGGAGATCTCACTCTGGCCAGTCTGGTCTTAAAGCCCCGTACTCCACTAATCCTCCTGTCCTAACTGGAAATGCAGGAGGGTACCGCCATACCCACCTTTCTCATTTTTTAAAGTGTACTATCCAAAGCTGGGGACATAAGTTTTCTAAGTTACAAACTTGCCTAGCCTGAACAAGGCCCTAGGTGGACACCTTGCACTGCAGGGGTAAAAAAATATGTACCTAATCTCATTATGATATGAATGTCACCGGTACCACCTAAACATCCTTAATATTTGACCTAACCATTCTGCTTATCAGAAGACTGATGCCCCTTGAGATATACTTCACCACCACCACCCCAACACACATACACCTTTTGCCACATAGACCTGTGTACATTTCCTGTCCACAGAGGCAATATTAATCATCAGAGGTTGTGTGCTGTGGTGAATCCAGAACAAAGGACAATGGGCAGTTGATTGGCTGGCCTTTCCCATTTGTGGTTGCTGTTCACTCTCAAGACAGGCATACTTGTCTACTAGCAGTTCTTCCTTGAATGCAGCTGCTAGATTCTTGCTTTTGACATCCTTTATCCCTTCAGAGAAAGCTGTTTTTTACACAAATCATGGTTTAATTAACTTAGTTTTCTTTTTTATCAGGCCTTTTGGAGGCCAGTCTTAATGTGGAAGAACTCAAGATGGTCATTATCAAATTTTCAGAACATCCCAGTTATTTATGTTGGTCGCTGCATACATCCTGAAAATAAGGATTAACCAACCAATGATAACTTTTGCTATGCCATGCCTCTCCTGTGTATTTTGGGCTTCCTCTGGACATTCCCCCACTAAAAAAAGAAGTGTGGTCACCTGCATTTTTGTAGAAAACCTGGTTCCCAAAGAGATCAGATGAAAACACTAACTTTTGTGGTGGTTTGAATAGGTCCCCCATAGGCTTGGAAATTTTTTAACTCTTGGTCCCCAGTTGGTGCCGCTGTTTGGGGAGGCATAGGAGGCATGTCACTGGAGGCAGGCCTTGTGGGAAAATAAAGCCCCATTTCAAATGCAGTTCAACATGAAAGCCCTCAGCTTCTAGCTCCAGTCACCATGCCTCTGCTCTGCCATCGTGGACTCTTAGCCTAGAGTAACTCTTAGAACCACAAGCCCAAGTCAACCCTTCTGTAAGTTGTGCTGATTATGTTGTTTTATTACAGCCGTAGAAAGGATATGAGCCGGGCGTTGGTGGCGCACGCCTTTAATTCCAGCACTCGGGAGGCAGAGGCAGGCGGATCTCTGTGAGTTCGAGACCAGCCAGGGCTACAAAAGCTAGTTCCAGGACAGCCTCCAAAGCCACAGAGAAACCCTGTCTCGAAGAACCAAAAAAAAGAAAAGAAAAGAAAAAGATAGGAAAGATATGCATGTGTGAGTAGATCTTTTCTCAAAGGCCTAGCTAGCAGTGTCAGTTGGAGAGGGCAGCTTGGAAAGGATGTTATCATTTAGCAGAGTATAGCAAGTTTGAGAGCAATATTCCAGGAAAGATAACAGTTCATGGTAGGTGTATTGGCTCACAGTTTTTTTTGTTTTTGTTTTTTTAAGATTTTATTTATTATGTGTACAACATTCTGCTTCCATGTATATCTGCACACCAGAAGAGGGCACCAGATCTCATAACCAGTGGTTGTGAGCCACCACGTGGTTGCCGAGAATTGAACTCAGGACCTCTGGAAGAACAGTCAGTGCTCTTAACTGCTGAGCCATCTCTCTGGTCCCCTGGGAACATCTTCAATACTACTGTATTAGTTGCTTTGATCTTTGCTGTGACAAAATATATGACAAGAACAACTTAAAAGTTTATTTTGGCTCATGGTTTAAGAATGACGGACACACGGTCCATTATGGTGGAAGGCATGGTGCTAGGAGTCACAGGGATCCTCAAGTAAGATGATGATGATGATGATGATGATGATGATGATGATGATGATGATGAAGCTTCACTAACCTTCTCATTCAGTCCTGGACTCTAATTCAGGGAGTGGTGCTGCCCACATTCTGTGTAGTGTTGGTTTTCCTCCCTCAGATAAACTCAGAGGGTTATCTTCTATTGATTCTAAGGACGGTTGAGTTGACAGTCAAGATTACCATCTTACCATTTTCAAATCACTCTTAGCAGTTTTTAGAACATAAGAAATATTTGTGAGCTGTGCGTTGGTGGCACATGCCTTTTATCCCAGCACTGGGGAGGCAGAGGCAGATGGATCTCTGTGTTCGAGGCCAGCCTGGTCTCCAGAGCGAGTGCCAGGATAGGCTCCACAGCTAACACAGAGAAACCCTGTCTCGAAAAACCAAAAAAAAAAGAAATATTTGTGAGAGTCTGGAATGATGGCTTAGTGGTTAAAAGCACTGACTGCTCGTCGAGAGAACCCAGTACAATTCCCAGCATTTACATAGCAGCTCACTCCTGTTTGTAACTCCAGTTCCAGGGCCTCTGACACCCTCACACAGACATACATGTAGGCAAAACACCAATGCACATAAAATAAATTTTAAAGTTTGTGAAAGTAGAGCCTTGATTGCAAATTTATTAATTATTGCTCTGATTGTACTTTCTATTATAAATTATCAATTCAGTTTCTGTTGATGAAGACCATGTAGCCAACAGTTAATTAAAAAAAAAACCAAAAAAACCTTGTATTGAAGTTCTAGAATTTTCATTTTTTTTGTTTTGTTTTTTGAAGGCAAAGTCTCATGTGGCACAAGCTGGCTTCTAACTCATGATCTTTAACTTCATTCTTCCTGCCTCCATCCCCCAAGTGCTGTTTCACTGCACCCAGTTTATTGTAATACATTTTAAAGTAACTTAACATACAGGTGGAGCTGATGGAAGTAGAAGCAGACACCCACAGCTAAACCTTGAACTGAACTGGAATCCAGTTGCAGAGGAGGAGGACTGATGAGCAAAGGGGTCCATACCAGGCTGGCGAAACCCTCAGAAACAGCTGACCTGAACAAGGGAGAGCTCTTGGTCCCCAGACTGATAGCAGGGAAACCAGCATGGGACTGATCCAGACCCCCTGAATGTGGGTGTCAGTGAGGAGACCTTGGAAATCTATGGGACCTCCTGTAGTAGTTCTGTATTTATCCCTAGCATAGGTGTGGACTTTGGGAGTCCATCCCACATGGAGCCTAGACACAAGGGGGTTGGCCTAGGCCCTATCCCAAAGAATAAGACAGACTTCTAAGATCCCCTATGGAAGGCCTCACCCTCCCTGGGGAGCAGAAATGGTATTGGATAGGTAGGGTGTGAGTTGGGGGCCACAGGGGAGGAGGGTAGGGAGAGGGACCTGGGATTGACAAGTAAAATAATTTTCTTTCTAATAAAAATTTAAAAAAAGAAAAACAAAACAACAAAAAAAAACTTGCAGGTGTTTGATAGGATAGAGGACTATAATTTATTTGCTGTTGATAGGGTTAAAGAGGTTGGGGCATGACTTTCTAGTAGCACATCTCTGTTAAGGACACAAGTCCTGGGGGCTGGAGAGATGGCTCAGTGGTTAAGAGCACTGATTGCTCTTCCAGAGGTCCTGAGTTCAATTCCCAGCAACCACATGGTAGTTCAAAATGATCTGGTGCCTGGTGCCCTCTTGAGAGGCATACATGCAGACAGAAGACTGTATATAAAACAAATAAATAAATTAAAAAAAAAATAAAATAAAGGACACAAGTCCTGTGTCCTCGGTTTACCCCAGCATTACCCAAACCAAGACAAACAAAAACTTAGAGATGTTCTAGAGAGTGTAAGTTTTAAGCTTCCCTCACTAATCCTTATATCATTATGTTTAACCCATGCCCACCTCCTCTTTTTATGCTGCTGAGGCAATGTGAGATGCTTTTGCCCAGGCTTTAGCACTTCTGTATTGAATAGAGCAAAATAGTTCCCCCAGCCACCTCTGCAGTAGTTTCTGGTCACCTTTCACCACGCAGCCCCACTGCTTTCCTTGGTTGGGTCTTTTTGCTTACTGTTTCCTTTTATTCTTACTCAGATGAGCAGTTTGCAGATCAAAGAAGAAAAGGTCAAAGCAGACACCAATGGTGAGTCTCGGGTAACTACAGACTAGGTACCAGATTCACACCTGTGCTTATGCCATAGCTCACAGGTACAGTGAGCAGGGGAACTGTCCTAGTCATTCAGCAGATGTCAGCCCCGCAACGGAGCCTTAAAAACAAAAGTCACAGCCAGTTGGTGTTGGTGTACCTTTAATCCCAGCATTTGGGAGGCAGAGGCAGGGGACCTCTGAGTTTGAGGCCAGCCTGGTCTACAGAGCGAGTTCCAGGACAGCTGGTTCTAAGACAGAGAAACCCTGTCTAAAAAAAAAAAAACCAAAGCTCGAGCACAGAACACACACACACAAGTCTATTGGATTGTTCTCCTGTTTACTTGATGTTTAAATCTTTTGAAACACAACTAGGTTAAAGCCAGCTGTGGTAGCTTCCATTTGTAATGCCAGTGGTCAGGATGATTATTAAGGTTTTTTTAGACCACTCTATCTGTCCCTCTCCAGGACTACATAGCAAAATTCTGTCTCAGAAACAAATTAAAAAAAAAAAAAAATCAGCTGGGCGTTGGTGGCACACACCTTTAATCCCAGCACTCGGGAGGCAGAGGCAAGAGGATCGCTGTGAGTTCGAGGCCAGCCTGGTCTCCAGAGCGAGTGCCAGGATAGGATCGAAAGCTACACAGAGAAACCCTGTCTTGAAAAACCAAAAAAAAAAAAAAAAAAAAAAAAAAAAAATCAACTCAGAAAGTATGAAAGGGAACAAGGCCTCCTTTTTCCCCACTGCTCCAGTGTCTATTTTTCCTGTGCTTACCTGTGTTCTTTGGCTGGGGCACCTCTAACCAAGCACCTCAGAGGTGGGTAGTTAAAACCATAGTAGCTGCCAGGTGTGGTGGTGTAAGCCTTTACTCCCAGAAGAGGCAGAGGTGGGTGGATTTCTGAGTTAGAGGCCAGCCGGAGCTACAAAGTGAGACCCTTTCTCAAAAAGCAAAACAAAACCAAGGTAGCTTATTGTCTCAAAACTCAGGAGATTAGAATTCTAAGCTCAAGATGTCAGCAAAGTTTGTTGCTTTTGAGGGCTTGTAGAAAGACCTTGTTCCAAGCCATTGCTGGCAGTTTTTTGGGTTCCTTGGGTTTTAATGATTTTATCCAGATCTCACATAGTGTTCTCCTAAATAGCATTCCTTTCTTTATTGATTAATTGATTGATTGATTGGATGATTGGAAATGCTGGGGATCAAACTCAGAGTCTTACACATTCAAGGCAAGTGCTCTGTCACTCCTCAGTCTTAAGTTTCCCGTTTTATATGGGTCCAGTAATATTGGAGTTGGGCACACTTAACCCCATTTTCAGATAAGGTGCCTTTCTGAATTACTGGGGATTAGGATAGGATAAATGAATTTTAGGAATACTGAGTTAAATTTGTAACACATGAGTAACTATTGTTAGGGACATTTTACTTGAGTTTCATTTTGCTTAGATGTTAAGTTTATTCATTATTTATTTATTTTTGATGACAGGATCTTGCTGTGTCCTTGAGCCTGGACTTGAACTCAGTAATCCTCCTGCCTCAGCCTCCCAAGTGCCAGGATTACAGATTTGTGATACCATGCCTGGCATTGAATTTTGATTATTATTCCATAGTTTCTCTATATAAGGCAAATAGAAATAGGGATTCATATTTTCATTGTCTCTGTTCTCTAGTTCCTCTCTCCCTATCACTCCCTACCTCTGAGAGGTGACAAGATAATGCACAGAATGCTTGATTTTTTTTTTTTTTTATGCAACGGTATTCCTTTGCATGCTCTCTACATTGACCACCATTGCATTAGGTTAATATGTCATTAATCAGTCATATAGTGTTTGTCTCAATTTGATATCATTATAAACAGTATGTCTTAGAATAACCATGAGCTTCAATACTTTATGTTGTGTTGTGAAATGTTTCTACAATAATTTACTCTGAATAGATTTGCTAGGTCAAGTGTATAAGCCTTTGAGAAAAAATTTTGGTGTGCTGGAAAGATGGCTCAGTGGTTAAGAGTTCTCATTGCTCTTGCAGAAACTCATTTCTATTCTCCGCCCACATCAGTTGGCTCACAATCCTATAAGTACTCCCTTTTCTAGCCTCTGAGGACATCTGCACTCATGTGCATAGACATTATATAATTACAACAAAAAATATAAGTCTATAATAAATTTTAGGCCAGGCAGTGGTGGCACACACCTTTAAGTCCTAGCACTCGGAAGGCAGAGGCAGGTTGATGTCTGTGAGTTCAAGGCTAGCTTGGTCTACAGAACAAGTTCCAATACAGGTTCCAAAGCTACAGAGAAAAAACCCTGTCTCAAAAAAAAAAAGGAAAGGAAGGAAGGAATTTTATTATGGGGTGTATGGGGTGTGTGTGTGTGTGTGTGTGTGTGAGTGTGTGTGAGTGTGACATGTATCATGGTGCACATTTAGAGGAAGAGGACAACTAAAGGAGTTTATGTCTGCTGGGTATAACCTGAAGATTGAACTCAGGTCACCAGGTTTGGCAGCAAATACCTTTACTCTGTGTGTGTGTGTGTGTGTGTGTGTGTGTGTGTGTGTGTCGGGGGGTGGGGGGGTGGGGGGATTGCCCTCTGTCACAGGTTTGCTTTGTAGACCAGGCTGGCCTTGTATTCACAGATATCTGCTTGCCTCTGCTTCTCAAGTGCTGGTATTAAAGGCATGGGTCACCACCACCTGGCTTAAAAATATTTTCCAGGGGCTGGAGAGATGGCTCAGTGATTAATAACACTAGCTGGTCTTCCAAAGATCCTGAGTTCAATTCCCAGCAACCACATGGTGGCTCACAACCATCTGTAATGAGATCTGGTGCCCTTTTGTAGTAGACTGCTAGATAGCATGCAGGAACATGGGTCCAATCCTTACTACCATATAAATCAGGCATGTAGCTGCATCTTTATACTCTAAGCATTTGGAACTAGAAGCAGGAGGATCACAAATTCAGTATCACTTTCATTCCCTGCTACCTAATAAAGTCTAGGCCAGCCTGGACTACATGAGACCCTGTCTCATAAACAAAACAAAAAATTCTCTAAGATTGTTTTATTTTTAGTGTTTTGGGACAGGGTTTCAATATATAGCCTTGACTGACATGGAATTTATATATAGACCAGGCTAGCCTCAAATTCATGGATGAGCTTGCTTCTGCTTCCCCAGTCCTGGGATTACAGGCATTCACCATCATGCAAGGAAGTATTCTACAATTTTATATTTCCATCGACAGAGCCTGAAAGTATCTGTTACCCTGTAGTCTGACACAAAATGTTTAGTCAGACTTTGAGTTTTTCTAGTCTTATAGGTAAAAAATAGGGAATAGAATTTGCTATGCTATGCTCCCCACCCCACCTTAGGATAACTAAGTCAGAAACCAAATATTTTTGTGATTCTATGTTCAGATTTAAGTTTTTATTTAAGGTGTTTTGTTTTGTTTTGTTTGGTTTGGTTTGGTTTGGTTTGGTTTAGTTTTGGTTTTGGTTTTTCAAGACAGGGTTTCTCTGTGGCTTTGGAGGCTGTCCTGGAACTAGCTCTTGTAGACTAGGCTGGTCTCAAACTCACAGAGATCCACCTACCTCTGACTCCTGAGTGCTGGGATTAAAGGCATGTGCCATCAACGCCTAGACTTTAAGTTCTTATATGCTTTGTAAACATAAAATCTATTAAACATTTAAAAAGAAATGCTGGTCGTTTACATTTGTTCACTTTAGTGTTAGTGTTTACATTGTCCCAACCTGTTGGTGGGTTTAGTGTTTGTCTTTCTGATAACTGTTTTCTTATGTAGGTGTCATCAAAACCAGTACTTCTTCGGAGAAGACTGAGGAAGAAGAGAAAGGTAACCACTCTTTGAAGTACTCTTGTGAGATAACCAGGACTTATCTGCCTGAAGCTAGAGACACTGAGTTATAAGACAGAATCAAAAGAATATGTAGGTTTTTTTTTGGAGGGGGGGATTGGTTTTTCAAGACAGGGTTTCTCTGTGGCTTTGGAGGCTGTCCTGGAACTAGCTCCTGTAGACTAGGATGGTCTCAAACTCACAGAGATCCACCTGCCTCTGCCTCCTGAGTGCTGGGATTAAAAGTGTGCCCCACCAACACCCAGCAAGAGTGTGTAGTTTTCACCCACCTCCCAAATAATCACATGGAAACATTATTTCTTATGAATGCCAAGCCTTAGCTTGGGTTATGTCTAGCCTGCTCTTAAATTATCTAATGCACCTTTTTCCTCTGGGCTTTTACCTTTCTTTAGTTCTGTATGTCTTTCCTGTATATTCCATGTGTGGCTGGGTGGCAGCCCCTGGCATCCCCTCTCCTCCTTATATCTTTCCTGTATATCCATGTGTGGCTGGGTGGCGGCCCCTGGCATCCCCTCTCCTCCTTATATCCATCCTCCCTCTTCTCTTTTCACCTTCTATGTATTCTCTCTGCCTGGCAGCCCCGCCTATCCCTCTCCTGCCATGCTATTGGCCATCCAGTTCTTTATTAGACCAATCAGGTGTTCTAGACAGGCAGAGTAACATAGCTTCACTGAGTTAAACAAGTGCAACTTAAAAGAATGCAATGCATTTGCATCATTAAATGAATTGTTCTACAGTATAAACCAATGCAATGCATTTTCAACTAATATTCCACAAAAGTGTGCTGAACTTGAAGCCGAAGAAATTGCCAACAGTGGTATGGTGTGTCAGATCTGGGAGGATGGCTTCATTCAATAGAGTGGCCTGCCCCCCATGAAGTTGTGACCTGGGTTTGTACCCCCAGTTTGTACCACATGAAAATCATGAGCAGTAGCATTCATCTGTAAGCCTAGCTCTGGTGGTGGATGTAGGAGTGGGTGGTATGACAACAGAGGGATCCTGAGCTTTCTGCCCAGCCAGCCTAAAAAATTGAGAAACTGCAGGCTCATTGAGAGATCCCCATCTCAAAAAATAAGGTGATGAAGCATTTGAGGCAGATGTATGATGTCAATTTCTGACCTCTACACTCATGTACACACATACTTGCGCACACCTTTGTACTCAAAGAAACATACATTACACACACACATACAAAAAGCAAAAGGGGGGCTGGAGAAATGACTCAGTGGTTAAGAGCACTGGCTTCCCTTCCAGAGGTCTTGAGTTCAATTCCTGACAACCACATGGTGACTCACAACCATCTATAATGAGATCTGGTGCCCTCTTCTGGCCTGTAGGCATACATGTAGGCAGAAAACTATATATATAATAAATAAATCTAAAAAATAAAATAAACATTGAAAAAAAAAGCAAAAAGGGAATGTGTGTCAGGCTGGACATGTACCTCAAGGGCAGAACACTTGTCTTGTGTATACTAGACTCTGAGTTCTATCCCCAACACTGGAGAAACAAAAAACAAAAGGGTGTCACTATAGGTGATAAAGTGATTTAGAAGCATCATATGCTTTCAGTCTTAGCTATTTGGGAAGCTAAGGCAAATGACATTTAAAACAAAACAAAAAATAGCTTATTCATTACAAGGGCAGGAATTCCAGAAGTTGGGTCCCTGTGACAGAAGGATGCTGTGAGTTCGTGTGAGACAGTATCTCTAATAAATTAAAAATGGAAAGGGAGTGGAATTTGGCTTTTCTCCAACTGTGAGTGCTCGAAAACGTCTGATGCAGAAACGGGTTGCGTATTTTCTCAAGGGCAGGCCTTACCTCATTCGGATGAAGAAAATCTGTTTTCTTCCTCACAGAGGATAGAGCTGCTCAGTCTTTACTCAACAAGCTCATCAGAAGCAATCTTGTGGATAACACCAACCAAGTAGAAGTCTTGCAAAGGGACCCAAACTCTCCTCTTTACTCAGTGAAGTCTTTTGAAGAGCTTCGCCTGTGAGTATCCATCGCTTTGAACAGCTGTTACCCAGTCCCAGTGAAAAAACATCTCTGAACTGGGCATGATGGTGCACACCTGTAAATGGATCTCTCAGAGTTCAGTCTAGCCAGAATTAGGAAGAGAGATCCTGTCTCAAAAAAACAACAGCAACAACTAAAAGCCAGTGGTGATGGCACATACCTTTAGGAGGCAGAGGCAGGCCTGTCTTCAGGGTAAATTCCAGAACAGTCAGGGTTACATTCTCTGGACTTTAACTTTGGCTTTAAAAAGAAAGGGTTTTTTGTTTGTTTGTTTGTTTGTTTGTTTGTTTTTAATCATACTTATGTCTTTGAGTAGGTAATCTACATGATTTGCCAGGCAGCTGTGGCTCATGCCTTTAACCAAAGCACTCAGGAGGCAGAGGCAGGTAGATCTCTGAGTTCCAGGACAGCCAGAGCTACACAGAAAAGCGCTGTCTGGAAAAAAAAACACAAACTAACAAATAAACCTAATTATTCAAACATTAGTGTGGGAGGGTAGAAGGTTGTAATAGAATAAGTACTTAGCAAATTTGAAGTCGTGTGTTTGATCCCTAGCACTGCACAAAGCAGGCATTAGATGGCACACCTGTAATCCCAGCGTTTGGGAGATTGTGCAGGCAGGAGGATCTTTTTAAAAACTCAAGGTCATTCTAGACTATACAGCAAGTTTGAGGCCAGCCTAGGACAGAGGAAACTATATTGAACACGTTTACAGTGACGGTCTTCTCTCTTGGCTACCCTTTTTCTTCCAGTATAACTTTTTCTTTTTCTTTGGATACTAATTCTCAGTGGCCTGGTAGTGATATAGGCCCATGACCTAGCTGCTTTGAAGTAAGAGATTCAGAAGTTTAGGACCTGCCTGGGTCACAACATGCATGTGGCATCTTGTATGTTGCCCTTACAAGCTTTGGACACCTGGGCTCAAGGAGCCTCCCACCTGAGCCTCACGGGTAGCTAGGACTATAGATGTGGGAACAACAGTACATGATTTTCTTAGTAGAAACTGAAATGCTACAGATTTATTCATCATAGCTGAAAATCTTTTTTTTTCTTTTATACTCTTAGAACTTTGAATAAAAATATTGGCTGACAGGTGATTTCTGGATGTCAGAAACATGTCTTATTAGGTAAGCCCTTTGGAAGTCTACAGGCTTTACAAACATTAGCCTGCTTTTAGAAACTGCCTGAAGAGCCTGGATTCCTGACACCTAAAATACATCGAAGCCTTTGATAGACCAGCTTTGAGGGAAGGAACCCCCTAACGATAAAATGTACTTAATAGCTCTCAGAAGGGGTTTTCTGGGTTTTTTGTTGTTGTTGTTTTGGTTTTTTTTTTAGATTTATTTATCTTTATTATATATGTGTAGGTGTTTTGCTCGTATGTTTGTGTGTGCAATGCCTGCAGACCAGAAGAGAACATCAGATCCTCTGGAACTGCAGTTACATACTGTTGTTAGCTGCCATGTGGTTGCTGAGAATCAAACCCAGGTCCTCTGGAAGAGCTGCAATTGCTTTTAACCACTGAGCCATCTCTCCAGCCCCAGGGTTTTCTGTTTTTAATTATTTGAGCTGTATAGCACTGTGACCGTAGTCAGCACCACTGTGTCTGTAGTCAACACTACTTTGTACTCAACAATACTGTGTCTTAGTCTGCACTACTGTGTGGTCAGCACTACTGCACTGACTACTTGAGAATGCCTAATGCATGGAGCTGTTTTGGCAAATACTGTGTGTGAGAGAGAAACACATTTCTCTCTGAACTTGGAGGACATGTATTCAGCTAGAGATCCCAGGGATTCTTGGGTCTCCGCACCCCTGTTAGCACTGGATTATAGGCATATGCTACACATATAATCCCAAATCCTCTTGCTTGTGTAGCAAGCACTTTACCAACTGAGCTATTATACCACAATCATTTTTTATTACTAAAAAAAATAACCTTTTAGAGATAAGAGTTTCATATAGCACGTGCTGGTTTCAAACTGCTTTTGACTGAGGATGAATTTGAACTTCTCATGTCCTACCCTTATCTGCCGTATGCTAGGTTTATTGGCATGTGCCACCACCAGGTCTGGTTCATTTGATTCTGGGACTGTTCCATGCATGCTAGGTAAGCATTCCACCAAGTAAGCTACATCCCCAGCCCTTATTTTTATTTGTTTGTTTGTTTTGTTTTGTTTTTCAAGATAGTTTCTCTGGGTAGCTTTGTAGACTAGGCTGGCCTTGAACTCATAGAGATCTGCCTGCCTCTACCTCCTGAGTGCTGGAATTAAAGGCATGTGCCACCACTGCCCAACTGATTTTCATGGTTTCTCAGGGAATTAGGCTTGAAAGTGTTTCTTTGTCAAAGGGTTTATTAATTTATTCACCAATTTTTTACTTTTGAGCCAGTTTCTCAGTATAGCCCAATAGCTCACTTTGTAGACCAGGCTGGCCCCAAACTCAGAGATCCGCCTACCTCTGCAAGTAAAATTGTTCACAACTGCCCTACAGAAATTTTTTTTTAAATTAAGCTGTGTTCTTTTATGCATGAGTGCTTTTGCCTGCATATATACATGTGTACCATTTGTGTGCCTGGTGCAGGTGGAGGTCAGAAGGCAGCATTAGGCCTCTTGGGACTATAGCAGTAGATGGCTGTGAGTCACTATGTGAATGCTATGAATAGAACCTAGGTCCCCTGGAAGAGCAGCCACTGCTCTTAACCACTGAGTCATCTCTGCAGCCCACTTGCTTTTTTTTTTTTTTTTTTTTTAAAGATTTCACTACAACTAACTAGTTAGTGTAGGTTAGTCTAGGACTCAGTGATCCTCCTGTCTCTTCCTCCTAAGTGCTGGGATTATAGGTATGAGCCAGTTGTCTCAACTGTTGAATGAATTCTGAGCTCTATGAGTTTTAAATTCCTTTCATTTGAAAGACTTGTATTCTCAATTTAGCTCCTGATGGATTGCTGTTTGTTTTTATAAGAATCTAACTATGTAGCCACATGGCTAGCTTGGAACTCATAGAGATCCTCCTGCCTTAGCCAGCCAAGTGCTACACTTACAGATCTGAGCTACTGCTTGGAGCTTGAGTTGTCCTTTTAGGCAAGTTTTCTCTTACTTATTTATTGGAAGGTAACTGGATGGAACCTAGATTGCCTAGAGTACTTGGGTTATTTTATTGTTTGGGGTTTTCTCATTCTTTGTTTGTGGAGACTTGTGTATGTGTACCTGTGCATGGGAATACATGTGCACACATTTGGAGGCCAGACATTGATATTGGGGTCCTGTTCTTATCATTTTCCATCTTGGTTTTGGACAGGGTGTCTTGATGAACTCATAGCTTACCTGTTAGCTAGACTGGTTGTCCAGGAAGCTGGGAATCCAGTACCTTTGCTCACCCCCACCCCCCAAAAAAGTACTAGGGTCACAGATATGTGCCACCATGCCCAGCTTGGATTATTATTTTATATTTAAAAGTTTGAAATGCAAAAAACAAAACAAACAAACAAAAAAAAACCCTAATGGGCTAGTGGAATCTGTTGGGCTGGTGTATCCCTATTTATTCACTCACTCATTCATTCATTCATTCATTCATTCATTCATTTTTCTTTTGGCAAGCAAGTTAGAGGCTGCCTACATTACCAAATAGAGAATACTAAAAGGTTTTGTTGTTTGTTTTGAAAACTCACTGTGTCTAAAAAGCCACATATGCCAGAAGAGTTTGCCTTTTAGAGGTAGAGAAGAACTAGAGAACTTTTTTTTTTTTTTTACATTTTTTATTTAAAATATAAAATCTTCATTTTTATCTGTGTGGGTGTTTTGCCCACATATATTTTTATGCCCGGTACCCTTAGGGGCTAGAAGAGGGCAGTCAGATCCCATATAAGTGGAGTTGTAAGCTGCTAAGAATCTAACCAAGTTCCTTTGGAAGGACAGTTAGTGCTCTTATCTGCTGAGCCATCTCTCCAGCCCCTTTGTCTTTTAATTTTTTTTATTGTGTTTATTTCTATGTGTGTATGCATGTGCAGAGGTTAGAAGATAGCTTGTAGGAGTCAGTTCCCTCTTTGAACCTTGTGGGCCCCATCCGACAGGTCACACTCATATCATCAGGCTTGGTGACAGGTGTCTTTACTCACTGAGTCATCTTGCTAGTCCTCTCCCTACCCCTCTTTCTTTTTTAAAGACAGACAGAGTCTCAGTAGCTTAGGTTGACCTGTATCTCACTGTGTAGTCCAGGATACTACACAACTTGAGTCAATCCTTTGCCTCAACTTTCTGAGTATTGGGATTATAGGTGTGAGACATCATGCCCAGCTGTTAGTTTTTCTGTGAAAAGCTGAGCTTTGTTGGGTTTTCTGTGATCCTAGTGCTTGGTAGAGGTGAAAGGTAAACTGATCAGGAATTCAAAGCTACCCTCAGCAACATAATGAGTTCAAAGCCAGCCTGGGTTATGTGAACTCTTTCCTTTAAAAACAAAAGCAAAAAGCCTCCTGGGCTCTCAAGATGGCTCCATGGGTATTAAAAAAAAATCTTTTATTGGATAACCTTAGTCCAGTCTCCAAAATCCATGGTAGAGGGAGAGAACCAGCTCCTGAAACCTCCACATGTACATTGGCCATGACTGTCAGACCCACACTCACAAATGCATCATCAATACACACAGTAATAATAAATAAGTGAAGATTAAATAATCTATAAAAATTCAGGAGTCAATATGAGGGCAAGAATCTGAAGGATCAGAGAAGCCACCAGTCCTCTTGTACCCGCTTCATTCCAAAGAGCCCTGATCCCTCTCCGCCCCACCTTACTATTTTCCTGTCCTATCTGTCTACAGTCTTCCAAAACCTCTGGTTCTGTTTTTGTTTGTTTGTTTTGTTTTGAGGTGGGATCGAGACAGGGTTTCTCTGTGGCTTTGGAGTCTGTCCTGGAACTTGGTCTCTAGACCAGGCTGGCCTTGAATTTACAGAAATTTCTCTACCCCTGCCTTCCAAGTGCTGGATTTAAAGATGTGTGCCACCACCAACTGGCCAACTTAATTGTTCTTTATCAATTTAGGAATTAGGTATCAGGCTAAGAACCTGAAAGATCAGAGAAACTGAGAAGCCACCAATCCTCTTGAACCTGCTCCGTTCCTTCCTTCAAAAGAGCCCTGATCTCTTCCCACATACTTCCTGTCCTATCTGTTCTCAGCCTCTGAAACCTCTGTTTAATTTTGGCTAGCTTATAGCTAGCTTTGCCCTCTGACTTCAAGCAAGCTTTATTTGTCAGAACATGATCAAACTATCATACAACATATAAGTAAGGAATGTTGTATGTTTTTTGTTAAATACTTTGTGAATAGAGAAGTTATTATAAATACAATGTAAATATGATATTAATTGATAATTGTTATGTAATTGTTTAAGAACTTGTGGCCAGGACTGGGAATGTAGCTAAGTTGTAGAGTGCTTGCCTGGCATGCATGAAGCCCTGGGTATGATCCCCAGCACTGCATAAATCAGAAGTAGTGGTTCAGGCCTCTAATCTCAGCATTCTGGGGGTGGAGACAAAAAAAAAAAAAATTAACAAGTTGTTACTTTTCTTTTTTTCAGAGGTGGGTTGGGGAGTGTTTTGAGACAGGGTTTCTCTGCAGCTTTGGGGGCTGTCCTGGAACTCACTTTGCTGGTCTTGAACTCTCAGAGATCCACCTGCTTCTGCCTCCCTAGTGCTGGGATTAAAGGCATGCGTCACTACCACCCGGCTAGTTGTTACTTTTCTACTCTTGTTTTTTGAGACCACTGCTCAGTAGTCCAGGCTGGCCTTGAATTCTAAGAAGTCCTCTTGCTTTAAGTCTACCAAGTGTTGTGATGGCAAGCCTGAGCTACCACACGTAGCACCTCTCCTAATCTTGATTTTTGACAAGACATAATCACTACGTCAGTCTCAACAACCATACTTACCTGGTTACCATATCAACAAATAGAAACTATCTAGTCCCCCCCCCCCAGAAAGAGTTTCTTTGTGTAGCTTTGGAGCCTATCCTGGCACTCGCTCTATATACAAGGCTGGCATCAAACTCCTGCCTCTGCCTCCTGAGTGCTGGGATTAAAGGCGTGCACCACCAACGCCCTGCTAAATAGAAACTATCTTAATCATTGTTCATCCTTTTTCTTGCCCTGTGCATTCACCCAGCTGAGCACACAAAATTGGGGCTCACACTTGGCACCTAAATCAAGAAATACTGAAATTTCAGAATGGCAGTGCAGTTCCCTTGTTAGAGTGCTTTCCTGGCATGCACCAAGTCCTGGTACTGCATAACTGTGGTGATACACTCAAGAGACCATACAGGACAGCCTGGGCTACATAGACAGACCTTGTCCCAAGAAATAAAAACAGTGCTGAAAAATAATCCCAGCACTTGGGAGGCAGAGACAGGCAGACTCTGAGTTTGAAGCCATCCTGGTTTACAAAGTGAGTTCCAGAACAGCCAGGACTACATAGAGAAACCCTGTCTTAAAAAAGCATCCCTCCCCCCAGAAAAAGGCAAGATTAGAATAATTAAGGATAGCCTTGGCTACCTGAGACACTAGCCAAAAAAACCTCTGAAAATTCAATTTTTCTAAAGAATTTGTATACTATACTAAGCAGTGTTTATTTTAGGAATTTCCTTTATAATTTATTTCATGACTAGATAGGTGGGCTTGCTGAAAGTGTGGGTTCTTCCAGTCTATTTAAGATACTGTAACAGTCTCAGAATAACATTTAGTAGTATAAGGTGATGCTTTGGTTTTAGATGTTTTTGTTTTGTTTAAGGCATAAAAAAATTGCTTTGGATGGGGTGAGGGCTGGAAAAATGGCTCACCGGTAGCATTAGTTGCTTCTCTTGCAGAGGACAGCACCCACATCAAGCAGCTCATAACTGCTTATTCCAGGGGATACAGTGCCCTCTTCTATGGTGATATATTTTATGATTCAATAAAGATTGCCTGAAGAATCAGAAAGCAAAGCAAAATTGATACAAATTTGAAATTAATTTTGTTAAAACATACTGTACATATATTTCTAATCTTATTCAAGGTATTGTACCTGTACAGCTCATTTAACAATGTAATGCAAATTTCTAGTCCTTGAAAGTTGTTATTAGTGGCTAGGCGGTGATGGTGCATGCCTTTAATCCCAGCACTCGGGAGGCAGAGGCAGGCAGATCTCTGAGTTCCAGACCATCCTAGTCTACAAGAGCTAGTTCCAGGACAGCTTCCAAAGCCACAGAGAAACCCTGTCTTGAAACACCCTCCACATGTCTGCTCTTGGTAGCACCAATCTACTTCAGAGAAGATGATGGGCATCAGAGAAACTCCACATGGAATTTACTTTCTTTGTGGCAAAAGTAGCCAATGGGCAAGACAGTGCCCTTGCCTGGACTGCTGACAGTATGCTGTCCAAATTGGACAAGCACAATACGAGAGTGACTGCAAACCTGCAAGGAAGGATAGCCTTTCAGAAAATCCTGCTTCACAGGATTTTGTGAGATATGCTAGGCTAGAAGGTCGATGCCCCAATGTTGCAGAAGAGCCTTGAGTGTCTTGGCAGCCAGCTGTTTTTGAAAGTTGCTTGCTTGCACTTCCTGTTTACTCAGTTATTATTTCCTTCTTGGGTCACTGAGGGAGTTGAAGACTAGATAGTTATAATTTTCCTTGTTTACCAGACTCAGAAAGGAAACTCACTAAAGAAATGTAAAGTATTGAAATGTAAAGTATTGTAAAGTTGAGAAATAAAAAGATAGATTGATAATGCAAATTAGAATAGAAAATAGGTACAAGACTTTGGACTCACCAAGATAGAATGGATAATGGAGTGTTTTTTCTATATTTGTCAAATGCAAATGGACTAGACATTGTTGACAAACTTATTGCCTG